GCAATCTCCCTGCCTCCACCTGCTGAGTGCTAGAATTATAGGACTGCATCACCATGCCTGGCCGAGAAGTCCACTATTGATAATAAACTTCTCTATGTTTCATTGGGGGGGAGGGATCTATGTGCTTTATTTAGTCTTTTATCTTATGCACAGTGTCTGGTCCAAGCAATCTATTTAATAACTATAAAATTCATAAATAAGAACTTAATAAACACGAGGGGGTTTATCTAACTTACTCCAGTGCCAGCTGATTCTCTAAGTTCAAACACTGGCTTATTCACAAGGGGCCTCACAGACCACTGTGTGGCCTGCCCCATGGTGTCAAAGCATCATGTCATCATGTCATCACCCCAGTGGCTCTCTTAACTACTGAACATATCAGTCTGGACTCTGCTATGACTGTGACAATCAGACTTTCTTCTCCTTATCAAATTTTATCTTTCACTGTTTTCAGCACTTAAGACTAGGTGGGTTGGTTTCTAGTTCTTTCCTGAATGTCGGTCACTTGATGCTGGCCCAAATACCAGGTGTGCCTATACTGCAGGAAGCCGAGTTAGAATATTATAGGCAGTCAGACAGGGCCAGGCCCTCAAGGAGACACGATGGAAGACAAGGTGACTTTGCAGCTTAGAACAGACAGACACTGGCATATGGGCCACACCTCAAGACAAAAGAGGAAACAGCTCCATACTTCCCTAGGGATGGACATCAGGGATTGATTCTAAATAGGTATCAATCACCATGAAAGAGCCCAAATGAGTCACTAGCCCAACCTCAACAGGAAGAGACCCTGTACTCCCTTCCTCACCCCATCTGGTCATGGGCATAATCAACTTCACCTGAGCAATGGTGCTTGCCATCTCATTGGTTGACCACAGCTTTGTCCCACCTCATGCCCACCTACGTGAGTTCCCACGTTCTCCACCACCTTAGACCCGCCTTACCACATGGTTTTCCTCTATAAAAGTCCCTGGAAGAGACACCCTGGAAGAGACAATTTCCCGAGGAACAACCCGCTCAGGCCCCCTTCCTGTCCCTCTCTTGGACAGGCGCTTTCTTTCTCTCAATAAATATATTCTGTTCATAACCTCCATTTGTTCCTAAAATTCATTCTTGTTTTAGGGAACACGAACTCGTGCAGGTCAGGTCAGGAGATCATTTTTCCCTATGTCACCTGGAGGTTCCCTGTATCCTTTGGAGGTCACACACCCGAGATCAGTTTTCCTCCCTGTATCATCCACACCCTAACCACCTCTTATGTCTTTCATAGTGCAGTCCTTGCTCCTTGAGCTGGTGGGGATATTTTTTCTCATCTGAGCTTCAGTGTCTAGTATATGCTTGTTGAATAAGGCATGAGGAAGAGCTGACTGGGGCGTACAGGGGTGACTGGGAGCTCAGCACCCCTACCCTACTGTGGAAGCTGCTATTCTATCAGAAAGTCTGTCTTGAGCTCGGGGTTACCCTTCCCATTTGCAGCCCTATCCCCAGCCACTGACTTGTTACTTAGTACACAGAAGGTCCTCCATACACAGTTCTGAAAAAATTTCTAGCTGAACATTTTCTTTCAACTAAATCAATTAACAGATCTGTAACAACCTTTTCTCACAATTCGCTAACTCATCAGGGATAGCCTGTCTAGCAAGCCACTGCCCAGTTATGGTCTAAAGAGCTACTGCATCCTTAAAAATATAAGAGCATGAAAGACCCTGATCCCATTTAAAGAAAAAAAAAAAAACAAAACCAAAAACCCTCCATGTCTACAGTAAATTTCTTACAAATCTACTAAAATTTACCTTGGTTTCTCGCAGAAGAAACTGCAGATCCCGTCCACTGAGGATTCCATGATTCTCCACATAACTAGGGATGTTCTTTGTGCTGGACCCATAAACAGTTGCATGTACTTCCATGTATGTGTGAATGATATCCAGATAGACCTTCTTATTCTAAAGTGGGACACAAAGGTAAAAAATAAAATGTTAATTTATATAATAACCCATTCATATGAGAGAACCTCCTCTATACGCTAGAGATCACAGAGATAGGAACTCTTCATTTGGAGATGGTAGGAGTTTAGCAATCCAATTACTGAAATATCATTTTAAAGTAATCTGTGGATTTTGAGGGCAAAACAGTCGTATTACTACTGCACAAGTTATGGCAATGTATGGCTGAGTATCAGTGACACTCATGGCTAGCTCTTGAAGTACTGTACTCACTTTGAATACTACCAGGGACCCAACACATTGTTTTTGGCTCATTCTCTTTATGGGGCAGGAAGTATGGGGAAAGAAGCTCCAGAGAAGGCAGTTGGTTGGGCTAAAGTCTTTGTCTGGAGAGGTTAAACTGTCCCTAAGGAACACAAACATCCCCAGACTTTGCCAGGATTCCTAGTGATGAATAGCTTCTGCTGTCGAACTGGATCCCAGTTAATTCTAATCATGGGGAGAGAAGTGTTTCCCACGGTGTGTACTGACTTGACTTGACAGCTGGACAGATGAAAATACTGAGGTAGGTAAAGGCACAAAAAGAGATTAAAGGGCAAGTCTGGTGAGCCCTAGGACATTCAAGAGTAGTTTTATTTTTTATTAGAAACCAAGCCACTCTCCTAGGTTTGTACAACTGAGTTTCATGACGCATTTTCCAAATGAAAACCACTGGTGTACTGAACTCTTTTAGATTATTTTGCTGAGTTAACACACCTATAATATTCAAATAACGGAACTTAACAAAAAAAGGGTATACAGTTGAATGTCCATTTTGTATCTGTGTATTCAAAGTGGTTAGGATAGATATATAGTTACATTCTCTTAATGAATAGAGGAATTTGTTCTAATGGTGTTTGTAGATTGGATATCATGTCCACATCCTGTACAGCAATTAACCACTGGAAGGAATGTATGCAATGTGTTAATTATTGAAACTGTCCTACCAATTTGATTTGAAACTGTCTCATTGCTATTTGTTTATCAATAAATTTATGGGAAAAATACAAATAAATAAATAAATAAATAAATAAATAAATGGAAAAAAAAAGAAAACCACTGGTGGAGTGGAAGCAGGCTTACGGTCCTTCCTCTTTCTCTTCTGTGTTGCTAAGTTGCATAAAGTAGATTTTGTATAGCGTGAGGACCTTCTCCCCGCTCCAACTTGAAATATTTAAGTTCTGTAATGTTTTCCACTTGTATCAGAGTGCGACAAGTTTTTTCCATTCTACAGTTTTCAAACGCTAGGGAAATCGAGTAACAGCTAGTTCAGGGACTTACAACTGCTGGAGGGACGTGGGGGCTGGCAACACTGTGCTGGCTGGGGGACGCAGTCCTCATGTGGGTGTCACCGTCAGCTCTTTGCCACTCAGTGCCCCAGTGACTGTGACAAAGGGCTTCTAACACTTTGGGGGACTCTTTCAAATCCTTACCTGGTGAATCTTCATGAGCACAAAACGAGCAAATGCAATTTCTATTTCATGCACCAGTATAACGTGTTAGTTCAAGCAAGATTCTGCCTGCAGTCTCACCTGTGAATACACGGAGCACTTGAACTACAAGTGCAATTCCATGCTGTAGCTAGTGTGGCTGCAAGATGCTAAACCCAGTTTTTCAGAGGCACCGACTCTGCAATGAGCAGCATAATGAGGAATAGTTTATAAAAAAATGCTTCCTTCTTGAAGCTTGAGCCACTTTTGGACTAAATACTAGAGAAGTTAGCTGGAAAAGTTCTAGAATATGTTCTTGGGCTACAGGTGTCTGACAATCTCTGCACTTCTCTCCCTCGAGTCCCTGGGCAAGCAGGCAGGAGTTTCTGTAACCTTGCTTTCTCCCCTGCTGACTGGACAAGAAGGGTCTAACCAGAGGGCACACAGCCCGAGGCCAGCAGCGATCTGGGAATGGTGTGGTGGGCTAAGGGAGGCGACAGGAGTGCACCAGGTCTTCCTAGTAATCAGAATCCTGTACACAGAGCCAGATGACTGGGGCATTAGAGCAAAAGGATCACCTGCAGTTGGAGTCTGTGCAGCTATGGGCTAGGTATCACGGCTCTGAGGAGGTCAGCAGCCAGATGTAGGGGGAGGAAAAGAACCCACGAGGAGCTGCAGGGAAGGAGAGGGGAAGGCAGACAGATGGCCGTGAGAGGCGATTAGACCTGCCAACAATGGAGACATCCTCCCTGTGAGCACGATGAGACAGAGACAGAGAGGAGGAGGAAGAGGAAGGATGCAAAGATAACGAGAAAACAGAGAGGAGGAAATACCTGCTCTGGGGCTCACCCATCGGAAGTTGTTCTCTATCCCCTAGGTCTTTGTGGCTCTCTACAACAATAATGACTACCCAGGATTCTCCCAGACCTCACCCTATGTGTTTACTTGAGCTAGCTGAGTAAATTCCAAAAGGAGGCCTCTCAGAACTCATGCTAGTCTTGAAGCAGGAAATCAGGGTAGGGATAGGTACTAGGTACCTATCTTTTTTGCAGAAGGATACAGTTCCTGGCAAAAGCCAGCCTTACTACTGGTAAGTAGTGAGGGCAGACCACAGGTCCTAGCTGAGGTCTGGAGCGAGATACAGACAAAACAGCAAAAGCTTCATTTGCTTCCATCCTACAATAAACAGTCATGGCAGATGGACTCAAGGTTAGAATCCTAGAATACATGCTTAAGAGAGGGACCACATACTAGATCACACACATGGCCATCAAATCCCAGAAGTGGTCATGGCTTAAGTTCAAGGAGACAGAAGTCTCTGTAAAAGCTAACAAGAATGGACTAACATTTAGTACGGTAAAGTTTAATTACCTTCACAGAAGATTTATACAACCTCACAAACAAGAAAATCCCAGCAGGTGATCAGAAGGAAAAATGTTTCAAATGTAACTGTAATCTTTGAAGTTCACATGCCAATCAGGCACTTACCTTAGCTCTCCTGCGCAGAAATTTGGTGAGGCTGAACCATGCTATGTATTCTAGGTAAAAGTGTCATTGACGACTTTTGAACGGAGGCACATACACTCCCAGGGCAATACTCCCTGGATGCTAAGGGAACCCAGTGGCGCTTTTACAGCTCTGATCTCTTTGCTGAATTTTGAGTAAAAGCAACAAAGTGCTTCCTGAAATTTTCCACTTGGGCTGCTGCGCCGCTTCTAAATGGGTGCTGCCACAGCCAGCCCGCATCCCCTCATCTGCTCCTGAGCTCCACGAGTGGGGTCAATTTCCCCACCAGGAACCTGGACGAGACCCACACTTGCTATTCCTTGTACCTCCCAAACCCCCGAATACATGGATCCAGCAAGTACCAAAGTCCTGTGATGCTCCCTCTTCAGGCCCTGGATCACTGTTCATCTGGTTTGAACCAGGATGAAAACTACCAGCACCTTCACCTCGCTCCCTGTGGCTCAAAAGGCAACACAGTCCACAATTTCTGTAAGTAAGCAGCAGCGTTGGGACCCACTGCAAAAGAATCTGTATGGCCTGATGCTACTTCTGCAAATGTTTTTAATCATGAAAAGCAATATTAGGCACATAGTATTACACAGTGACGTCTACACATGTGGACATTTGTAGGTGAAGCATAAGACTATGCATGAAGATGACCTACAAACTCCCAGGTGCTGATTACAGAGGAGAGATGATCTGGGAAAGGAGACAGAGCCTCATGGCTATTTGTAATATACCATCTATATGTTAAGGGTACTGCAAGATGCTAACATTTGTAAATCTGGCTGGCATTTGGATATCTACTATGATTTGAACGTGTTTCCTAAAAGCTCACTCGTAGCAAGTTCATACGTCAATGGTATTTGGAGATGGGCCTCTGAATGCAATTAGGATTGGACGGGAGCACCAGGGCAGGGTCACCGTGACAGCATTAGAGACTTCATAAGAAAGGGGAGAGAACCGAGTAACACACTGGATCTGTCTCACCATGCAACAGCCTCTGTATGACAAGGTAGCAAGAAGGCCTTCACTGGACCCCAAGGCAGATGCCAGCCCTGCGTTCTTAGACTTCTCAGCCACAAAACAATGAGCCAAATAATTATCTATCCTCTACACACTATTCAGTCTCAGGTATTTGGTTACAGCAACAGAAAATGGACTGTGACAATGTCCTTTTTTTTTTTTTTAAGACTTCAGTATGTCTATAAACATTTAAAATAGAGGTAATCATTAATAAAAACCCAGAATATCCTAGACTCCAAAGCTTGCACCTCTGCCACCACACCTGAAGGCTTTGTCCTTGCCATCAAGGGATTCAAAGCATCCCCTTCCTTTCAGTGTATACTGTACACTGGTATGTTTTAGGCACAAGGGAAATCGGGCTGAGGTTTCTTAAATGGAAGAGGTCCCTGCCTGTCTTTCCCTAACTCAGGGAAAGGCCCACAGTAGGGAGTGGTGCACAGACAGGGATGGGGCATCATCCAACATGCACGCTGTCCCTTCCCATAGTTTGGTTATCCAGGCCTCTGTTGCAGGTGACACTGTTGACCCAGGAGTCCCACTGATCAAGGGCTAAGTGATCTTTGCTTCTCTGATTTAAGAGGTGAAGAACAAAGGAAATCATTCTCAAAGACTGATCAGCAACTGACTGCTTCTGACAGAGCCTGAAGGATCACAAGGCAGCACACCACTCTTGCCTTGGTGCCATGGGAAGGGAAGGACTCCACGAGGTCCTTAGCAGCCACTGGGCAACCACTAAGGCTTTCAGCCTCTACTTCAATTTTAATTCCCATTAAAAACAACTGATCTGACTCAGGGGATAGTTCAGCGGTCCAGGGACCTGCCTGGCAAGTGCAAGGACCAGAGTTCAATCCCTGGTACCAATAATACATGCTGTGCCGGCCCTGAAACCAGGCGTGGTGGTGCATGCCTGTAATCCCAGTGCTGGGGAAGCTAAGACAGGAGGATCACTACAAGTCTGTGCTGTGCAGCGAGACCCTGTACCAAACAAATAAAAATTAC